TCATAACATCTTGATCTCCAGACTACACACATGGGCTGGAAACTCAGGTTTGCCCCTTGGCTGGTTTAGGTCTTATATTTCTAACTGCACCCTGAGGATCATGCTGGAAAAACACTCATCCCAGTCGGTCTCCCTTTCCTGAGGGGTCCCTCAAGGTTCTATTCTTGGCCTGTTTCTATTCTCCCTCTATAATCTGCCTTTAGGAGCCATTGTCAGACAGCATGCTGTTTTATACCATTTAGTCACCCTAAATCTACAGCAGGATTTCCCCTCGTAGCAATATTTTCCCTAACTCTGATTGCTTCATGCTAGCTGCTGTTATGTACTTTTAGGAACCGTTAGAATTATTTGAATCTGATCAGCCATTCAAAAGTTATAAAACGGAGCATTTTGGATGACAAACTCAGCACGTCTCTGAATCTGTGTTGTGGTTCAATGCGCTCAAGACAGGGAATCCCGGTGGCTACTGTAATGTGTTGTACAGGGGTGGATTTAGGACTGAAGAAGATCCGGGACTTAACACACGCACGCGCGCGCTAGTCAACATCATATATATTTGTCTTGTACCACATAATTTTTAATCTGAAGCTACATATGAAGCATTTTCAGGGCAGAGTATTGTTCCTGTTAGTGTTTAGTGTGAGATGATAGTAAATATTCCCTTTCTTTCTCCAACAACTTTACCTGATAAGCTAACTTTAGGCAAACCAGCAGCACAACAAATATTTTCAAATAAGACTCACAAACCTGAGTCAATACCAGTCTCATCAAAGCTGGGGTTCTGTCGTTGTACTTTTTGTCTAAAAAACGTCCTTATGTCCATCTTCACTCATGCGTTTCAGGCAGAGAGTGTAGAAGAAGCTGGCTGCAGAAGGGCTTCTTCTTCAGTGGTGGAGGCTGAGGCAGGCTGTATACAAACTACTGCCAGCTGCTCCCTCTCTGTTGGACTTTGGTACTGCATGTTACTTCCATGTTTGAGATCTGGGGCTTTTCATAAAACATCCGGGGCTTCAGCCCAAGTAGCCGGGCCTAACGCCGCCCCTGGTGTTGTATATGCCCGAAAAGCCCCATTTTTAATCTTTTCAGCACTTTTGGAATTTTAATAATGTCTTGAACGGTTCAGGAATTATGGTAATGAGAAGTGTGCATGTCCAGTCCCATCTGCGGCCACAGGTTGGTAATAAGAACATTGTGGCATTAACAGAGGGGTGCCAGCGGTCAGGGCTAGGAGGCCCCCCAACACAAGGGGGCCCCAGGCAGCGCCTACCTATGCCTAATGGTAAAACCGCCTCTGCTATCAAGACCTCTGCATGCCCCCTTGACATCTTACCCTCATCTTTGTTTAAAAGTGCGTTTCAGTCCATCGGTCCCAGCGTGCTCTCTATAATTAATTCTTCTCTGGTCTCTGGTCAGGTACCTGCTTACTGTAAGAACGCTGTAATCTACCCGCTTCTTAAAAAAACAAGTCTTGACCCCTCTCTCCATAGCAGCTTCAGACCCATCTCTAAACTTCCGTTCATCTCCAAGATCTTGGAAAAGGTTGTGGCTAAAAAACTTACAGCTGCTCTTGATGAACATAACATCTATGATAGATTCCAGTCAGGTTTTCGTAGAGCTCATTCTACTGAAACAGCTCTTCTTAGGGTCTCTAATGACCTTCTGACTCACAGTGATGCAGGGGACTGTTCTGTTCTGGTCCTGCTGGACTTGACTGCAGCCTTTGACACTGTTGACCATCACCTGCCACTGGAGAGGCTGAGAGACTGGGTAGGCCTATCAGGAACTGCTCTGTAGTGGTTCTCCTCTTATCTTTCCGAGCATTCCTTTTCTGTGGTTGTCTCCAAGTTTAGGTCCTCCACCAACTCTCTTACTCATGGTGTCCCACAAGGTTCTGTGCTGGGGCCTCTACTCTTCCTCCTCTATCTGCTTCCTCTTCAGCACATCCTGAGCTCCTTCAGAGGAATCCCTAACCATCTTTACACAGATGACATCCAAATGTACATCTCCTTTAAGCCCCATGAGATGTCTAAGCTGCAGCTGTTACACACCTGCTTAGACTCTATCAAAACCTGGATGGCTGGTAGCTTTCTACAGCTGAATGGAGATAAGACTGAGATCCTCATCTGTGCCCCAGACAAGCTGATTCCCAGAGTCAGAGACTCTCTTGGTCAGCTTGCTACTCACACCAAACCTTCCGTCAGGAATCTTGGTGTGACCTTTGATCCAGCTCTCAACCTGGATTCTCATGTTAGTTCTCTTGTTCGCTCTTCCTTCTTCCATCTCAGGAACATTGCTAAGCTGAGTCTCATTCTGTCCCGCTCTGAACTTGAGACAGTTATCCACACCTACATCTCCTCACGCTTAGACTACTGCAACTCTCTTTTCACGTGTCTGAGCAAAACCTCCCTGAACCATCTACAGGTGGTTCAGAATGCCTGTGCTCGGCTCTACTTCAAATAAGTAGAACATTTATAAGAAGAAAAAGAACTGACAGATTATTCACAAAAGAGTAAGATATGTTCAGTCACAGTAACGGGCCCAGATGTAGACGTGGTCAAGGAGGGGCATTGCCCCCCTAAAAATAGTAACTGTTGAGTGTTACGTCCCTGACGTGTTGTTAAAATGTAAAGGAGGGGATAACATAAGAAATGTGACAGTGGATTTAAAATGGGTTTAATTGCCATGAAAGGTTTTTAAACAAGTGAGCAAGCAGATGGAGAGGATTATTAAAATAATGCCTAACACAAATCAAGACTAAAAGGTTAACATTTAAAGAACCACTTATCAACATTAAAACACCTGGTTAAAACCTCGTTAAAAGTTTTACCAAAACAGAAGGTGTTTTAAAAAACACAAGTTGATGATAAAAACCAATGCACTACGAACACAGTGTTCTAAAATCCCAAAGTCGGTAAACTACAATGTTAACCTTAAAATCAATACATAAACCAAAATGATCACATGGATCTTCTAAAACATACAAAAGGGGTTTAAAACAATGCATAAGGCCTGGAGGACAACAGAACCCCTAGAGTGCTGCCTCCCAGACTGCTGAAGGCCCGGCCTTTTTATCCCAGGTGTGGGTCGTCACAGAGATTAATCTCAGCTGTGCTCCTCAGCAGCCTGGAGCAGAAGAGGAGAAGGGGTGGTGTCAGGCTGATCACCAGGTCTGGGTGATCCTGGCTCCTGCATCCAAAGTGGCCAGGCTGGTAGCCACAACATGGAGGATCAGTCAGTCATGGTTAGATTTGTCTGTAATGGCATTCCAGAAGAACACTGATTGGTCTGCTTGATCTCAGTCAGTTAAATGCTGATTTTATTACCACCCAAATTCTTGAGCATCTCTCTGACTCAGGCTATAGTGCAGCCGAAATTATCAGTCAGTGCTATGATGGAGCTTCTGTCATGAATAGGGTCAGGGGTGGGTTCAGGCCTTACTGCAGAAGAAGGTAGGGAGGGATATTCCCTACATCCACTGCTACAACCACCAGCTGCACTTGGCAGTGGTCCATGCAATGCAGGCAGAGCCGTGTGCAAAAACCTTTTTTGATCTATCAGGATCTCTACACTCATTTTTCCACCGTCATTATGTTTCACAGAACTATGACGTTCCCTCCCTGAAACGACTGTTGGAGATCAGGTGGACAAGCCACCATGATGTGACCAAATGCCTTGTCAGAGGTTACAGAGGACAGAGCTGCTGCTGTTGATATCTGTACAGAGGCATCAGGACTGCTGATGATGTTAAGGAGGCACAATTTCTTTGAAATAGGAATTTTCCTCCTAAAAGTTCAGGGTTCCTTGAAGTCTGCAGATTCTATGCTGCAGCTCATTCTGTTGACCTGTGCTGTGCTTCAGAAGTAGTCAGTGCATCTCTGCAGGCTTTGAAGCAGATGAGAGATGAGGAAAGCGAGGCATTAACCAGCACACCTGCACCAGCTGCTGAAAGACAAAGATAAACAAGCTCACTGCTAACAGGTAGCGTTGTAATGTCCACTGTGAGCCACACAGAAGACTCCACAACTCCTAGCCAGGCTCTGAAGAGAGCTCTTCTCAACATTTTGGACATAGTCAGAGTAGAGATGGAGACAAGATTCTCCAAAAGCAATCTTGATCTCATGAAAGCAGATAACTGCCTTCAACCTCAGTCTCCCTCTCTTCTGGATCCTGACATGTAAGTCCTCTGCAGAAAATGACAGGAAGTGACAGTGACAAACTTTCCAATGAGATTCTTGTTGTAAAAATAATGTTGGAGAAAGAATTCAAAAAGACTGATGATGATAACAGGGTAGACTTTGTAGACCAAACATCTACATGGGTATAAGAATGCCTTTCCTCAGTTCCATCGCAAGTATGTGACCTCCCTTGTGATTGGAATATCAGCAGCATCATGCAAGAGCTCTTTCTCCTCTTTGTCTCGTGTTTTTACCCCATTCTGCCGTACTACGCTACATGAGAGAAAAATAAATTTAGTCATTCTGGCTCACGAGAAGGCCATAACAACAGGCCTGGATATGGATGGATTTGTTAGGACTTTTGCACAGAAAAGCAGACGGCTGATGCTGCAATGACTGATAAAAGCCATAGAGAAAACAAAAAGATTAATGCAGCCCCAATAGGGAACAAGCCAGTGTCCCATTTGTGCCGGTCCCAAGCCCGGGTAAATGTAGAGGGTAGTGTAAGGAATGGATCAAAGGAAAAGATGTATATATATATATATATATATATATATATATATATATATATATATATAGAGAGAGAGAGAGAGAGAGAGAGAGAGAGAGAGAGAGAGAGAGAGAGAGAAGGTAGGGATATGGATAGAAGAATGGTAATGATGATTGCATAGTTTTCTATGCATTTTAGGGATTTGGGGGTATGTGACATGCGAAAAGTTGTTTCCCAGACCTGCCCCCCTGATAATCTATCTGCCCCCCTTTGTGGGGCTGGCTAAATCCGGCCCTGCATGGTAAGCATGAGACCAGCCGTTCCCTGTCAGAGAACGGACTCATCTGATGTTAATCTTTCTTCTCTTTTTTTTTTTTTTTTTTTAATTCCGAAGCGCAGAGCTAAATTATCTTCAGGGTTAATTCACTCTGTCGAAAAATGAGACGTGAAGGCTTCACGCTCTGATGGCGCTGATGACAGCGGCTTATTTTCAGTCATCTGCGCCTTGCTGCGCGGTGAGAATTAACCCACCTAATGAAATAGAGAAATCATTTGTCTGAGCGGGTCACTCTCATGTGGGTTTAAATCGGAGCACACTCGCTCACCTCCGCCACAGCCCCCTCCCCTTCCGCGCTCGCATCTCTCTGCAAGCCCTGCACCTGCGCGTCAGAACATCGTGGCAACTCTTTAAACCGCTCTTCTCTCACACACAAGTGGCTGCAGATCGTGGCGACCTAACCGAAGCGTTCACAGGTCCAACTCTACTTCTCCAGCAGCTCTCTCATTCCCACTGACAACAACGGCACGGGCACAAACTTTTGGCGTGATTTTTACGCACAGATTCTCTCACCCTGAAAATAGTTGTTTTACGGTTCCGACAGCGCGGTTATCTGAGAACTAAACGGAGGAATCATGCAAGTTTATGTGGCAGTGATATTCGCTTATGGAGTCTCAGGTAAGTTCTGCAACAAGCTCGGTGTTTGTCATCAACCATCGCGTTTATTATTAAAACAACGAAGTATCGCGTGTACCAGAGGTCGCTTTTTGTTTTTAATGTGCACAGCACAGACCGAGGTAACGGTGTGGGTCTTTGTCCCCCTCTAGAGTGTTTTTAAAGTGGGGTTGCATGTTTAAAGTCTTAGCTGAGGCGCTGTAATGTCTGATTATCATCTCTCCAGACGGAAACTCATGGGAAGGACATCAGGTCCAGTTTAAGGCGAATATTTTCCACATAAGTGAGCACGTGGTTTTATGTGCTCATCCTGTTATCATGCATTCTGCATACATTTCGTCAGTGGTAATTTTGCTCCAAGCTCCATACAAAATTCATATATTCCTCATTTGAAGCATTTGTCAAGATCCAGTTTGTTAGATGTGCAATGATGCACATGGTTGAAATTAGACATTCACTTCTAGTTTTGCTGATTTGTGTTGGACCCTGCAGGTTTTTATTGGTTTGCACAGGGGAAAAAGTGCTGTGTAAATATGCATGAGTAATATGCAGAGAATTTAGCAATAAGTTTCATTATTATGACTTCAGTCAGTTTTCAAAGCCTAAAAACTAAAACACTAAACATCAAGCAGATGACTGCTAACTTAAAGTTCTTTTTTTCTATTCAAAACAATGCTGTTGCATTACCATATTCATATACAAAGTGATTGCATAATGGAGATTCTGGCTGTGTGGATCACCAGGAGAGCAAGTGGTTTCATTATTGTTTGCTCAGTGAGCCTGTCAAATTCTTTATCAGCTTTTCTAAAGCTACACGTGCAGAACTAGGCAGTTCATTGAGGCGTTTTTAATCCTTTTCACAAATATCCTGTTTATGAAGTTTAATTCAGTGGTATTTATTTAAGAAGTCTGTTTCTAAGTTTTCCTCATGTGCTGCTTATTAGGTCTGTTGCCTGCAGCCAGCGCTAAACTCGCTGTTTTTTGAAATCTGTTCAAAATCACTCTAGCATAGACAGCAGTCACCTGAAACATGAATGACATTCACTGTCGCTGCCTGACTCGCCTTTTCCCAGCTCAAATCTCACAGATAAGATATACTTCCTGCTCCCAGGACAGAAAGAGAATGATTATGGACAATCCAGTTTAGGGACAATCTTTTTTTTTTTTTTTTTTTTTTTTTTTACATTTCTGCCTTTGTGCTCCCTAGAGATAGAAATGGAGTTCTGCATCCACAGACTCACCTGTGCAGCAGCTTAGTGCAGTTATTCAGGCACAGAACCTGTTCCATTTTCATGCTACATCAAAACAAAGAGGAGAGCTGATGCTTCCAACTGTATTCTGATATAGCTATAGATGTGTTGTACGTAGCAAGATTATTAAAAAATATCAAATAATTATTATGCAATTTTTAGTAAATGCTGCTTATATTCATCAGGTTATGTTGACCTATAAAAAGTATAAAATATAGTAAACATAGTTGAGAAAAAATACACTTTTCTGATAAAAGAGACAGAGGAGCAGATCTGAAAGGCAAAAGCGCTAATCTAAATCCATCTGTCACTTTACCACCACAGGCATCCTAGTGGACTTATCAGTCCTCAGCTCAGCTAAGCTGCTGATATTTCAGAGACACGGTCGGGTCCAAATTTTACCAACTTCAGGCAGATAAAAGGATAATTGGTAAGCCCCAGTCAGAAATAATTCTGTGTTCAGCCACAGAACTCTTCTACCCCATTGTTTCCTCATCTGAATGGGGATCAAGAAGAGAGGTTAAGAAGTGATCTCGTTTGGAAAAAAACAAATAAAAGAAAACCTCAGTAGGCATTGAAAGAGTCCAGTGGTATAATTGCACCAGCAAAGAATCAAACTGGCAACATAAAGGCAGAAAACTATTTTTATGTCAGTTTCTCACCTTATGAGTTATTAGATTTTCCTTTATGGAAGACACAGCTGGGCTGTAAATTCAATTAATTGTATTAATTAAAACTATTTGTAACACCAACACTATCTCAGCTCAGGACAAAATAACACAGAATAGCTTCATTCTACTTTATTAAAAACTAGAAACTTGTTTTTTCTATAGCTATGATAAATGAGTTCTCATATTGATGCATATTGGTGGATGCTGACTGGTGTGATAGCTGCTGCTCCAGACTCACAACCTGTTCCACTTTCAGGCATCAGTCAGTAGGAGAAAGAATTATGTTCGACTTGAGACATCCTGCCGTCTGCCTTAGTGATACAATCTGTGACATAAAATCCTTTGGCTCTTTCATGTGGAAATGCCTTTTTCTAAATTATAAATCTTAATCATAAGAATGCCTGCGTGCATTTAACATAATCCAAAAGCTAGAATTTCACAGCTTTTGTACCATTTTTCTTTCTCCCAGGAAGTCACAGATTGATAGAAGTTGAAAAGTCATCCATAGAAAGTGTCGAGGTAATTTGTTTCAGTCAACAAATTTTTATTTTCATTTACATTTTAGCACCAAATTGATTTTCTACATTTCCAAAAAGAAGATTATTGAGTATTAAATGTGTGTAATCTTGATGTGTTAAATTCATTGAAAGTAACTGACTGTTTTTACATATTGTTAATATTTTATGCAAGCTGTAATCTTCAGCAAATTACACCAAGATGAAGCTTCTGTTTGCCCTTTTTAAACAAAGTTTCAGTCAAAATCTCATTAGTTGACACAGAGCACAGCACACAAAGAGGCTGTTTATACCTGGTGCTGACAGGGTTGATCTGATTACAAGTGAACAGAGAAGAACAGGTGTAAGTGCATTCTGGACAGATTGAGGACACGTTCCGATCATATCCCTCAGGTCACTCTGAGAGGTCAGGAAGGCATGGCTGCATTCTTTTAACTCTATGAACACAAACCACCACTTTGTTTTTGGGAAATTTAACCGTCTATAGTACCGTATTTTCCAGACTGTAAGCCGCTACTTTTTTCCCACACTTTGAACCGTGCGGCTTATAATGAGGTGCGGCTTTACTCAAGATTTTCCTTCACCTGCCACTAGGGGGCGCTTTAGCAGAAAGTGAAACAGGTAGAAGTCATAAGTGGAAATCGAAGAATGTGCTCATTTTAATTTAGCACATGCAAGCAGCCGGCACGACGAAAAATTATTTTCAAATCCATACCCCCTCATCATGGTAACTACATACATGTATGAGTTCATATGATGATTTAAGTTGAAGGCCATCGATCTGGCAGTAAAGGAGGGAAACAGTGCTGCCGCACGTAAGCTTGGCATGAATGAATCCATGGTTCGGCGCTGGAGACGTTAGCGGGAAGAACGTTGGTTACGTATTGTAACCCCAGATTCTATGAGTCTAGTCGCAGCCCTTAAGCGAGCTGCTATTGGAAGGATGATCTCCGCATCAGCCAATCATGAAGAGCTTAAATGTACGCCCACCAATAGTGGGCCCCCTCGTGGTATATAACCGCAGTGACCCCACTGCTCGCCTCCAATGGCTCTTATTCCATCATAACCAGTGGGGCCAAGTGGCTTAAGGGCTGCGACTAGACTCATAGAATCTGGGGTTACAATACGTAACCAACGTTCTATTTCGTCTAGTCTTAGCCCTTAAGCGAGCTGCTATTGGAATAAAGCGCAGCTGGATGGGTTTACGCCACACTGGTTAACACAACCAATGGACACACCCAATCAATCTCCTTTAGTGAGGGAGGTTCAGCCTCAGACCAGGCTTAAAGACTGAGGCAGCCACGATAAAAGAAGGGCCCCCACTAAAAAAACATCATCCACGAGAGGATGAAATCCATCTCAGCAAGGCCAATGAGGCGTCATAAGCATTCATTCAGCCTGCTGGGGTCCAAGCACTGAACGAGTGATGGAACCTGAAGACACATCCCGTAAATAATAACGAGTAAAGGAACAGGGTGAAGCCCATGAAGCAGCCTGACAAATGTCTTCCATCGACACACCACTGTGGAGCGCCATCGAAGAGGAAATCCCCCTGGCTGAGTGAGCCCTGAGTGCCTCAGGGGAAACCTGCCCCGATGACGTGTAAGCGAGGGAAATGGCGTCACACAGCCAGTGTGAAAGACGCTGGGCCGTCAGCGCCTGACCAAGGGAAGACTCCCTGTAGTGCACAAACAGGTTTTGTGAACGACGAATCCCTGAAGTGCGTGACACATACCGTACAAGCGCGCGCACCGGGCAGAGAAGGTGAGAAGCCGCCTCCTCCTCAGAATTATGGGGAGGAGGAAAAAGTCCAGCCAATGAAATTGACCTGGACTTGAAGGAAGCATTAATGCTTTTGGGCACAAAGGCTGGATTGGGGCATAAAACAGCAGACCCGCCATCTTCCCGGATCCTGAGGCATGCGGGAGCCACTGAAAGGGCGGTCAGGTCACTCACTCTCTTAACTGATGCTAGCGCTAGCAGCAATGCAGTTTTAAGTGACAGGAACTTGAGTGAGACCTGGTCCAAGGGTTCAAATGGGGCTTTGGATAAGCCGTGCAGAACCACCGTTAGATCCCACTGGGGAAAAAGCGGGCGGGACACAGGTCTGTTCCTCCTGACACCTTTTAGAAAACGTTTTGTGAGGGGATGATTGAAAACAGATCTATCTCCAAACCCTTGATGACAGGATGAGATGGCTGCAGCATATGTTTTAATAGTGCTGAAGGCGAGGCCCCTGTCCATCAGTATCTGCAGAAACGACAGGACATCCGCCAGCTGGCAGGAGAGCGCTTGAACATTCCGCTCTGTGCACCATTTCTGGAAAGCTGCCCATTTAGCAGCGTAAGACGCAATGGTAGAGGGCGCCCGCGCACTCTGAATCGTGGCGACCACATCATGCGGCAGCCCAGAAGCCTCTAAGCGTGACCGCTCAGCGGCCAGACCCACAGCCGTTGACCTATTTCCGGAGGATGTTTGATTATCCCATCCGCCTGGAGAAGGGCGTCCGCCCTCCACGGGAGCCTCCACGGGGAGCCGGACACTAGCGCTTGCAGGTCCGGAAACCA